ACCGCTCAGGACACAGGCGCCCCCTGGGCACACACCTGCGAGTGTCGCAGTACATTCCGCAAGGTGCTCCCGCATGAGGCCCATTGGCCAGGCACCCTGGGGTGGCTCCCTGGGGAGGAGGGCAAGGCCGCCCCAGGGCCCTCAGTGCTACCTGGTAACATGCTGGCCTCCTCTCTCTGACCTTAGGCTGCCAGAACAGTGAAGCGATCCTGTTTGCGCCATCTCCCTACAGAAAGGAAGATTATCCTCTGGTCTGATAAGTTGTCAAGCAGCAATCTTTGAAAATAAGGAAGAGGACACAAAACCTCTCCTTTGAAAACTGCGAGCTGTGCTTTAATTGGTCCTTAGATTCAAGGGGTACACAGTACTAGAGGCTGAAGGCCATTGGTCATTCGTTCAACAAACAGTGGGCACCCCCTAGTGGCGGGTGTGAACACAGCGGTGGACAAGACAGACTTGGTCCAGTGCCCACCGCCCGCAGGCCAACCCAAACCTCCGCCTGCCCAGCCCGAGGGCCAGCGGGAGCCCGAGGTCAGAGGGCAGGGAGAAATGACCTTCCAGGCGGTCCAGTAATACACCTGCACACCAGAGCGAGGGAGAGGGGCCTGACGTGCTCAAATGTAATAAGCTGCTGACGTCCTCCAGGAAACTAGGGCTCAAAGCCCTCACGGGCCAGTCCCATGCCTCAGTGCCACCGGTCTCTCCATTTAAGTACGATGACAAGGCATTCTCCATTCAGACAACCACCTCTGTCTCTAGAAGAATCGTTCCCAGGGCAGCAATCACCCCTTGCTCAACGCAAGGCGGGGCCTTGTCGACCCCACAGCCTGGTGCCTGGTCCTCAAGAGACATTTAACGTGGATCTGCGATGCGTCGGACAAAGAGAAGTCACGGAGATAAAGGCCTCCTGAGGCGCTCGCAGGCTGGTGTGACCAGCCCCAGAGCGAGACCACACTGAGCGCTATGAGGACAGCAAAGGGGCGAGCGCCTCCGCGCAGACAGGGAGGGGCCTCTGGAGGGAGGACACCGTGTGAGAACTCGGGAAGGACAGGCAGGCGCTGTTCCGCGTGGAGGAAGGGCGGTAAGGAGAGGCATCAACAGGGAACCGCAGGTGCAAAGGGGTAAAGGCCCAGGGACGCCAGACGGCCTGGGCGCTGCCGATCCGCGTGCATTACGAGGGCAGAGGGGACCCACTGGGGAGCAGCAGGACACGGGGCTGAAGCAGTCAGAGCGGAGCGGCCCTGCACGGGGCCCCACGTTGTGGACGACATGACATCAGGTCCGCTCCACAGAAAGGCGCTGTCATGGCTCTCACGGAATAGGGACTGGGCAAGGCTGGCACCGCAGAGACCAGGTCAAGCTTCTGCCTGCACGCTGGCCTACGGGAGACAGGAACTGAGCCAGTGAGCCCAGAAAACAGTGACGGGGGAAATACTCAGGAGTGATTCGGTGGCCAACTGGATGGGGAGCATGAGGGCAGCAGCTATACAGACGCCTCAGGATTCAGGGCAAGGCCACGGTGCCTGGTAGGGAGCGATCTGCGGACAGTCGGCAGGTGAGTACGCAGGTGAAGGGGAGCAGCAGGCCCGGGCCCCAGCACCCGGAGGATGGTGGAGACTGCCTTCCGCCCGGCTGAATACAATGTTCACGCTAAACTAATTCTAACAATTAATTTTCTTTACTAAATTTTAAGATGCAGAAATGGCAAACGTAATTTTAAGATATTTAACTTTCATTCTATTTTGTCGGAACACAGTCCACAGTCCTTAGCAGAACTGTCGAAATGTCTAAGAATCTCAGAAATGAGTTCTCCTCACGCCTGCTTGAGCAGCACTACCTGCATTTAATCAACTTAACAAATAAAAATTACTCACTAGAGATGAAAGAACCAAAAGGAAAACCACGGTCCACCTCTGATCCGCAACATTTGCAACAGGGTGAGTGACCAGCCCCTAGGGTCGCCACCAGGGGGCTCCCTCTGCCGGCTTCCTGCTCCAGCCCCAGATGGGCCAGTAGAAGCCCTGCAGGAGCCTGAGGCTCACGGGGTACAGGCCCCCAGGCCCCAGGAGTTGGTGCCGTTCTTACCTGTACACAATTCTTTCCCTCTGCAAGTCCTCTAAGCCACAGCACACCTCGGCGGCATAGAAGACAGCTCTCTGCTCGTCGAAGCCGGGGTTGCCCAGGTTGTAAATGTGGAACTTCAAGTCCCCTCCGTTCATAATGGTTAGCACCAAGCACAGGGCATCTTTGGTTTCGTAAGTGTAGCATAAACTAACCTAAAGATGACAGCGTCACAAAAAAAACCAAAACAAAAACCTGCTCATTCACCGGTGATTCGCTCTACTTGCTAACAACACAAATAACGCACGCCGGAGCTCTGAAAACACCCAGACACTCTGCTTCGGGTGCTTCTGGGACTGCTCCCTGTCGAGGCTCTCACACTTTTGTACTGAAGGGTGAGAATACGCTACGTCTAGGTGGATAGGTGGCAAAACGTCACAAAGACACTTGGGGCCATGATTCCTCAAAGTTATGCTCCCATCACGGAGCGCGGATGTCCCATGCTTCCAAACACCTGGACGGGCCCCGCAGGCAGGGCCAGGGAGGCCGCGCCGCGCACACCCTGCCAGCGTCATGTGCTGTCAGTCAACGCTGCTGGCTGGCGGCACAGTGGTCTCTTATTGTGGTTTTAATGTGCATTTCTCCGAATATGCAAATGCAGGGGCACTGCTCATACTTTTTCATATAATTATTCATTTGGAACCTCTTTTACAAAGTGCTTACTCAATTTTTTGCCAACTTTTCTATTGGTTTGTATGTCAACATGTGCACGCACACACACACACACACACACACACACACACACACACACCCTGCTGGGATTCTGACTGGGACTGCACTTAATTCACTTAATCTGTACATCAATTTGGGGAGAACTGACATCTTCACAGCACTGAGTCTTCCGACCCACAAACATAGAACCCCTTCATTTACTTATTCTTCTGTGATTTCTTGCAATAGCATTTTATAGTTCTCAGTGTAGAAGTCTTGCGCATCTTCGTTTGATGTATGTCTAGGCTTTTCTTTTTTTTTGCTATAGTAATTGGTATCAATTAAAATTTTCATTTTCTAAGTGCTTGTGGCTGGTGTCATATTTAATAACTTGGCTAACTTCTCAATCAATTATCTACAAAGCCTTAGACCGTCTCCACATACAGTCATGCTGTAGGCCAGGGTGACAGTGGGATGAGGAGGAGACAAACATGACAAAGGTACAGCTCAGGACCCCCTGATCAACTGTAAGCAGGGGAAAAACACAGAACCAAGACGAAGGAAAATATTCCTGCATTCCATGGGAGTGGCCAAGAACACAGAAACCAAAACATTTTGTTTAAATAGATAAACTAACTACTACTTATGTCCCTTTCATAAAGCTAGATGGTGGATTTCTATATTTCAAGCCTGTTAGACAAATACATTTAAAACAATTCCGAGATGAGCCCATTTTATTAAAGATGTTCATTTAACACACATTAGACTGACATATCATCCACAAAACTATGTAATCAGGTGAGAGAAACTAGGTGTGAAGATGAAAAACGCACTACTTAATGCACAGGAAGGGCCTGGAAGCAGTTCTGAACTCACCCCGGTCCCCCAGACGGTTAGTCCTTACCTGGAACAGTGAAGGCGGAATTTGAGGCTTCCTACAATTGGGATATGCTCACTGAGAGCCAAATACTAGACATGCCAGGTATCAGAAAGAGGACAGATGGAGACAGACTGGGGGCCAGAGGGGTGTCCTCGAGTGTATCGGTCAGAGCACCCCCACTGGCCATAGCACTCAACTGGAAGATGACAGCAAACGGAAGGCTAAGCTCTGGCTGCCACCAAAGCGGGGAAGGGCACCTGGCCAGCAACGCCAGGCTTGTAGGTGTGAAGGTAACTGACAGACCCGGTGATGACAAGCCACAAGTTCGCAGCAGGATGGCCACCATTTAGTGTCTTTGCCCAAAAAGAACTGACTAAGAACAAAAGGGCTGTCACTAGAATCCGGCTGGTCCTGGCCCCTACCGGACTCCGCCCCTCGGCTGAGGAAGGCGCTACTCATCAAGCCGCCTGCAGGGGGCGCAGGAGATACTTACTACAAATCGGCTGTGCACCTTCTCCAGGATCCTTCTTTCATTTAGAGCCATAGCTTCGCCTTTCCTCTTCTTTATTCTCTTTTTTTCTAGCTTTTTACAGGCGTACATTTTCCCTGTAGCTCTCACTTGACAGGCACAAACCTAGTTTCAAAAGGGGGGAAAAAAGGTCTACGTCCCCCCGGCATTTCTTAGGCTACCAAAGAACACTGTCCCCACGATGACCCGCCCAGGTAAAGGGCAGCTACGACTAAGCCGCCAGGGCCACTTCAGTGGTGGGCACTTGGGAGCTGTGGAGCCGGCTTCACCCTCAGCTCCCTCGTCGATGGACGGGAACCGAGCGAGCACAAGGCGCGCCCTGGACACCACGACAGCGGGAAAATAGGACTGGTCGCGTGTGAGCACACCACACCTGTTTCACCTAAATGTGTCTCCCTGTGTCTCTGTCCTTTCTGTACAAGAGCAAAGTTTTGGAAACTAAACAGATTCTTGACTTTTTTTTAAAAAAAGGTCAAGAATATAAAGAAATATATTTCATAGAATTTGTAGACTTTCATATATTTACTCTGCTTGGTTTTAAAGTAATACTTATATGTTACTTAGCTTTACACTACGAAAATCCAGACATACGAAAGTGGAGAGAATCCTTATGAGCCCCCAGGTATGAGTCCCCCAGGTTCTGGACCATCGACATATGGTTGTCTCATTTCCTCTGACCCCTACCCACTTCTCACTCACACGCACACACCAGCCACACACATGCAACCCCCATATCCCATACACGCCTACATACAACCACATGCACACACATGCGCATGCCACACAAACACGCAACATGGAAGATTACTTTGAAAGCAAATATAAGACACAATATAATTTCATCCATCAATAAAATAATCCTGATGGTAAAATATAAAGTTCACAGTAGAAAATATATTAGGACAATGATAAAACTCATCTGAGATTCCAAGATAACGGTCATTATGATTTTGCTGCATCACTTCTAAATCCCCGTGTACACGTATATCAAGAACATACACCTTGCTCCCCTCAAAGCCCTCTCTGGCTTTTTGGGAGAAATGGGCTTCTCTGATGGAATAGGTAGTATTTTATAACCTCCTTTTTATAGTGTGACTATTTTCTCATCATTAAATGTTCTCTCAACATATAACTATTCTCGAATTTACTTAATCATTTTCCTATCATCAAGTCTTGGCACATGGCCTCTGCGTGTCTCTTTATCTTTAACTTAAAAATAATTTCTTTTAAGTGGAACTGCAAAGCCAAAGGAAGGGTCGGCGGAAGAGGGGAGGCACCTGGCTCCGCGCTACCAGCTGGATACCAACGCTCATTTGCTCCCCACAAAAACCCAGGGAAGCAGAGATCACACCGGGAACTGACGGAACAGGAACTTGACCTCGGGTCTGCCCAGCTTGTAGGGGGGAGGGTCCGCCCTGTCCCCTATACCACGCTGCCCCCGAAACAATGCGGCAGAGATGCTGACCGATTCCCTCCCACTGCCCTTCCCTCAGGAGCCTACAAAGCTCTTTTCCGTTAAATAAAGCATAAGCGAAAACATCATTGTCAGCAGAGTAAGACCAGATGTACACCCTTCCAAGCCACCAGAAGAGGTGCCAGCATTTGGAAAAAGGCGCTGCACGATGGCATTTGGACTTGAAGGGCACTGAGGCTGTGTGCACTAGGGTCCGGGGTACTTCTAACAGGCGTTCAGAAGACACACAGACTGGTGGCCACTCCCCCCCGCCACCCGCCCCGGGCCTTGACATAACGTCCAGCGCATCCAGAACAAGTCTGTGAAAAACCACAGTGGTTTATTCGTTCACACAATCGCTGGTTTAGAAACACAAGTAAATGTGTTAAAAAGTAATCTAAAAAATCGGAAATACACCAAGTCTTTCAAAATGGTTAGCTTTTGCTAACATGTTCTTACTAAATCCATTTCTAAAAACTTAAATGCAGCTATAACAGAACTTCGTTCTTTTATAAACACAAGACCCACGTGTTTGAAACTTCTTTACCTCCATTCTTTGACAAAATCTGAGTTTTATCCTTAGAAATCATGAAAGACAGAATAGTAAAAATCAAAGAGAGCAAATAACTTTCGTGCTCCAGGAGGTGTTCAAATGGAGGGTGGATTCCTCACAGAAATATCTACTATGCAGGGGTTATGGCAAGCATTTGGTTGGGTTACACAAAATATTCTAGAAGGTCTCCGGAACTGGACAATACCGCTGAGTCCCCTGAAGTGACGGCTACGTGGACCAACTTCTCGCATGTCGAGCCGCACACGTGCACGAGCTCTCACGGGCGGTGTGTCACTCCTGGGTCAGCTTTCCCACGCATGGCTTCGGCTTTGGCTCTCTCTTGGACTTTGGGAGCGTGCGTGCTTTAAGCACACGCGGGCAGGGCACCCTCCACTCACTCAACACCCGGCTTCATGTCCACTCTGGCTCTCCTGGCTCTGGGACTTAGCAGTGCCGGAACTGGTCATTCACGAGCCAATCGATGCCTGTTAAAACCACCTGTCTCTGTCCACTGACCACAGCGGCCATGGAGGGCCGTCACATTAAAGGCCACCTCTCATGAATTTGTGGGTAGTTTCCTCAGGATTTCCTAAATTTAACAAATTTTCTAGACCTTTTGATGTAGGTGTGAGGTACATGTATGTCCAAACAGAGTTGAGTTAAATAAGCATATTTAATACTACACTCTGTACTACGTGAACTTTTAGGCTGGTCCTAAATTATGGAAATAGAGTAACAGAAATTTCATAATATAAAAACAGAATAACTTTTTCAATCAGGGCAAACTGACTGAGCTTGAACATCAAACACGGAAAAACAACTCCTTTAAGAAATAATGAAATGGAAGGTAAAATCACCAAAATAGCGATTTTTTTCCCTAGATCTCCGAGCTTTTTAAAAGCTTGTAACAAAGTACCTTTTGCTCAAAGTTGAATCTTAATTCTCACAATTGGGTAAAATTATACCCCAAACATACGGTAAGGACACAGACGCAGGTGTGTCACCTAAAGATCACGTCTTTCAATTACCTCGCTGTCTACTGCTCACAAGTGGTCACATGTTACTTACCTCTCCGAACCCACCTTTTCCTAGCACTCTGTAATGTCTAAATGTTTTCTTTGTTACTGGACGCCTAATCAAAACAAAAAATAAAAGAGTTTCAGGTCTTAAATCGCATTGTTATTTTAAAACAGAAAAGCCTACCCAGCCCTTGTCTCGGCCTTACTCATGGAACCGCACTGGCCAAGGGGAGTGCCGGGGACCGGGCTGCCTGTGCTTAGGGACTGGCCCAAGGTGGGACTGCCCTCGACTGTGCTGCGACAAACGAGCACATGTAACTTTTCAGCTTTATTGAAAACACCCAGATAGATCTGGAACGGTCCCATTAGCTTTACTAATGACAAACCCGCAACTAGCCCACGCTACGAAATACCCATGTGTTCTCAGATCGCCCCGTGGGGCTGTCGGAAAGCTGCTGAGGAAAAGAACAGATCTACGGTGCGCTGTCCTTTGGAAAAAGAACCTCAAAGGGCCACCCGACATCTCGAAAACGCATGTATGAACCAGCAGCAGAAGTCTGATCAATCAATAGTAACTGGTGGCAGCTGGCACTTCCTGGGCGCCAGAAACGCGAAGCATTACGTGCTTTCTCAGGTTTTCCAAGGGTCCAGGGGAGTAGATCTTAAGCGCCTCTATTTTACGGAACAAGGACCCGAAGCTCATAAAGGTTCAGTCACTTGCCCGAGGCCACACAGCCAACACGAAGCTGAGACCACCAAGACTCAAACACTGCCCTGGGTTACGAATTATATTTCTGTGGATCTAGGATATGCTTTATTTTCTAACTATTGCACCAACGGGGCTGACCACCATTTTAAAAAGAACGCAGTCAACTGAAAACACCATATGCAGCCCAAGGTTCCCAGTGGCATTGAGACAGGTGGAACTGGACACCCAATCAGTGTGCATTACGAGAACTTATCTACTTGTTTTCATTGAGCTTCAAGTTGAAACATACCTTTCCAGCCACTTCCACTGTAAAAATCGAGAAAAATATGGGCTTTCTTGGTATTCTTCAAATGGTTTTCCACTTAGATAGCTGTGGACAACACTAGAAAAAGATTTCATGCATTACACACCTGTGTGGCATCAGAGGATGGAAGCAATTGTGTGTGTGTGAGTGCGCTGACGAGCACGGGCTGTGGAAAGCCGACCGTTACACACAGTTCAGTGCTATCGGCGAAAACATGAGGGCCGCAATTCAACAGAAACGCAACCAATTTACCCTCCGGAAGTCAGGGCTGCTTTTTATGTATATGGACATCAGAGAACTAATTACTTGATAGAAACAATCCGCCAGTGAAAGGATAATAGTTTAAAATGTATTCAAAGTCTGTGTGTGCGTATGTGTGCACACTCACACGCGTGCAAAGGTAAATATATTGCAGCAGGGGATGCAAACATTTTGTAAATAAAATTGAAGTGAATGTCTAAATGATAAGAGTAATAAGGCAGAAAATGTTAACGTGACACAACCTTTTTTTAACATTGAAAATAAAGCACCCAAAAATTATTTTATGCTACACATTTCTTGGAGAAATTTTATGCAATTAGCCATGCCTCTTAGGTTTTACTTATAATTTTATTATAGAAGTAATAAAAGGCTTACTTGGGGAGGAGATAAGGGACAAAACATAGCCCGTCCTCTAAAACGGCTCATTCGTTAGCAAACACCTCCTGAGCAGACTGCGAGCAGTGTGCCGGATGCCCGAGGGAAACGCGTGGAAGGTCTAGGGGTTCCGAGACCCTTTCGGGGTGTTTGGTAATGAACCCACATTTACAATAATACTGAGGGCTTATGTGCCTTTCTAAAACCCCATTCTCACGGAGGGGTCTTCCAGAGGCCTCGAGACATGTGACAACATCTCTGCTCTGCGAGTGGAATGCTCGTCTTATTTTTTTAAAGAAACATAACCCATATGCACAAAAGCTTTTTGGGTCCTCAATAGTTAAGAGTGTCCCAGGGTCCCGAGAGCGGAGGTCTGAGCTACATTCGGTGTTGTAATGGGGGCCCGTTCCCACCTGGAGGGGCACGTGGGCGCCGCAAGTCCAAACCCATCTGACCAGAGAACGGGTCTGATACTGTCGGCTTAGCTAAATCATCTTTATAGAGGTGTTTAAGTATTCCCGTGAAAAGAACGCCACGAAGGCCATGTTCTCATGTTACACTTGCCTGTTTCACGGCCTGTGTAAACTAGGAGGAAATGCTACCATCGACTCACCAGTGCTTCTCGAGCTCTCTTCCTAGCGCGCCTCACCTCAACACAACAGACCGCTCCGCCACTCCGGTCTGGGAGGTGAACCCGCTGCGCATGTTCTTTAAAAACCATGACATTTAAAACTGTGCATTGGTCAGCTCAGCGCTGGCTTTTCATGTACTCATCTGGCGACCCCACTACCCATGAAGTCAGGCTGACTCGCACTGCAGCTTCGCGTGGGAAAAACGGGGAGCATAAAGGGGCCACTCGAGTTCATTATGCAGCATCAGTATTCTAGGATCCAAAATGAGAAAACCAGGTTTTGGGGGAAATAAAGGTTGTGACAATATATAAATAAGGCAGGAGAACAGAAAACGCTGAAACTCCTAGTTTCTTCACAGTATTATGCTGAAGTCTCCACTTAGGCAGTGCCCGGCACAGTTGGTGGCAAATGATAGACAATAAATATCTAGAGAGTGAACTGTGATCAGTCGAATGAACTAATCAAAACAGATAGATGTCTGAGTATCAAAACTTACTTAAAGATTAGCAACTTTAAGTCCCTATCTTGAAATTTATGCCCATAGAAGGCAGAATTTTTGATCCGTCTAATACAGTCATGTACATCAGCCTGTATTTTTCAATAGGACAGAATTCAAAAAGTGTATTTAACCAGAGTTAAAACTGCAAACGAATCTAGTGAACAGATAGATCGATAAAGAATCCTAAGGCTAAAATGGGGGAGCGTACACTGACCGTGAAAAAAGAGAGGCTCTTAGAGGTGAGAGAGCAAATTATGAAAGAATAACTGTAATTACGAGGTAAGTTTAAACGGCATCAACTGCTAAAAACCTGAATCGCAAATGAGGTGAACTATAGCCCAGCAACAAGAGGCCAGCCCTGTCCGAGGAGGAGCACCCCCACTCATGAGCTGGATCGGCCCGGCCCCCTACCCCGTGAGCTGTGGGCTCGCGAGCATGCTGGGCTCTGTCTTTTTGACTTGATGTGTATTTTCTCTCCAGTTTAAGGATGGAGAGCTCAGTATTCCCTGTCGCATTTGCCCGTGGTTTTTGGAAAAGATACGAATGATGATGTGCATTATGGACTGAATGTGTCCCCCACAGTCATGTGTTTGAGTCTAATCCCCAAGGTGTTAGGAGGCGGGGCCTGTGAAAGGGGATCAGGGGATCGGGTCTCGCAGGTGGATCCCCGTGTGGGGACCAGTGCCTTACAAGAGGCCAGAGGGCTGGCTTCCTCTTTCCCCAAGTGAGGACACAACAAGAAGGTGCCATCACTGGACCCCAATCACGCTGGCACCTCGATCTCAGGCACCTAGTCTCCAGAACTGTGAGAAATAAATGTCTTGTGTTTTATAAGCCACCGAGTCTGTGGCACTTCGTTACGGCAGCCCCAGGGGACTAAGACACTGTGCTTCCAGGAGTGTCAATGAAAAGGCCCATGAGAGACGGCCTGGCCTTGCCCAAGGTGGAGCTGGTCTTGGCGGAGGTCCCGTGAGCTTGTCAACAAGGGCACTGTCTCCAGCCTATGGTTGTTCCTTCTTTGTCTATGTGATGTCACCTGGCCAGGATGTGAGTGAAGCCTTCAATCCTGCTTTTGTCTCTGATGTCTCTTGCACAGGCTTGACCAGACCACCAGTCCAAGACTCGTCACCGAGGTTCTCGCCTGTCCCCTGTCACCCTCAGGAAATGTGGATGGTGCAGCGTGGCTGCATGAGGAAGAGGAGCCTACCTGCTGGGCATGCAGCGGGCAGAAGCCACTGGCGCGCCTCACGACGTGAGTGCGGGGCCACCTGCCCACTGGCACATGTTGACTCAGGCACAGAGAACACACGCGCCTCCTCCACTGAGCTGCTGACTCGCGCACGACCGAACCACGCGCTACCCCAGAAACGAAACAGTTCCTTTGTCATTGACTCACAAAGGAGTGCTCTAGGCTGCACAAAGCAGTTGCCTAGCAAGCACCGTTTTTCTTCAAGTCGCAAATACCCACCACGGTAAGAGAGAATGACTGAGCCTGGGCTCTGGTGTCAGACAGACCTAAACCCACCCTGTGGATGTGATCGCCACAGGTGGCTAGGAGCTGCCAACCACTAGGGCCTTACAGGAGCGAACATTCAGATTTGTGTCCACGAGTTAACGTGAAAAATCAGAGAAAGAAACACACAACGTATGAAGCGACAGATTAGGAATTTTCAGATTTTTTCTAGTAGTTTCTGCAAAAATAAAAATGAAACAGAAATGATGCTTTAAAACTGGGAACTTTGCAAACCCAGAACCTATAATGTGACTGTGTATGGCAACAGGGACCTTGCAGATCTTACTGAATTAAGGACCTTGAGATGGGGGATGACCCTGGGTTATCCGGAAGGGCCTAAGTGCAATAATGGCGTGTGTCCTTATGAGAACAGGGCAGAGGGAGATCTGGACACAGCAAGTAAGGAAAGCCCACATAAGGGCCAAAGCGGCGACAGACTGGAAGATGCCACACTCCTGGCTCTGAAGATGGAGGACAGGGCCATGAGCCTAGGGGACTGCAGCTCTAGAAGCTGGAAAACCCAGGGAACATTCGCCCCTAGAGCCTCAAGGGGAACACGGCCCCACCAACACTTTGTTTTCTGCCCAATGACACAGATGTCAGGCTTCTGACCTCCAGGACTGTAAGAGAACATATGTTTTTAGGCCACCACATTTGTGGCAACCTGTTACAGGGGCCAACAGGAAACTAGCACGGATGGCTCTGTCATCTGTTGTAAGCCCCCCGAGGGTGATGGGCCAAGTCACTGCTGCTTATCATTCTATTCCCTGAACTCAGATCAATGACAGGCACATAGTAGTGTCTGAGAGTTTCCAAAGAGTTACTAATACGCCGAGCTCTGGAATTTATATTTTCTTAAGGCATGTAAGAATGTAAACTCAAGCCAGCAGGGTTTTATTTTGTTTGGTTCTCCACTATAACCTCAACCCACAGAAGGGAACCACTAAGAGTTGAAATGCATCCTCCAAAGAGACAGGAAGTCCGAGCCCGGGACCTGCAGATGGGGCCTTACTCAGAGAGGGTTGCTGCAGATGTTACTGGTTAAGATAAGGTCACGTGGAGCGAAGTGGGCCCTACTCCAGGACGACTGCTGTCCCTACAGGAGGAGGAGGAAGCGCAGAGACAGAGGCACACAGAGAAGGTGGCCACGTGATGGCAGACTCCCAGGAGCACTGAGGATGACCGAATGCCACCAGGGGCTGGGAGAGGCAGGAGGGGTCCTCTCCTACAGCCCTGAAAGCACGACCCTGCTGACACCTTGACTTCGGACTTCCAGCTTCCAGAACTGTGAGACCATTAATAAAGACCTCCTGACACAGCGCAGGCTCTCAACAAACATCTGCTGAACGCGTGAATAAGTGACACCCAAATGTCTTGCATAAATATACGAAGGACTCCATGTTTTAGGCCAGATCACCTCAGAAACAGTCCTTTCTTCCTGTATACTTAAGGAAGCTGAATTTAGCCAACATGTTCTGACTTAGAATTTTCCTATCCCTATTGCAAAGGTCTGAAGAAAAGGTATTTTCAGTGAGTGCCTAGATCTAAAAAAAGCATTTTATGCAAATCTCTTCATCCTGGACACAAGCATTTTGGAAGGCTGAGCAGAGAGGGCCGGGAGCCAGCAAAACGATGCTGGTGCGCTGACTCTCCGCATGTGACCGCCCTGTAAAGGTGTCCCTATGAAGGTGTAATTCTTCATTTGCCTCTTCCTAGTGAAAGTGACCGCTTTGATTTGGAAAGCGCCCTGATAGGAAGGGTCTCCCGGTCCGGGTTGAGCCCAGCAGGCCAGTGGGGCGGGCGGACCCTCACTCACCTGGTGCAGCCCGCGAAGACCTCCTTGGCAGGGTCCTCGCTCAGTTGCAGTGCACACTCAATCACGACGTGTGGGGGCATCGCTGGTAAAGGGGCCACCGAGCTCTTAACACAGCACAAACCGAATACACGACAATTAGTGATTTCGTGATTTACCTGCTGTGAACAGAACCTAACGCTCATTGTAAAAAAATGAAAATAAAGTGCATGACTTAAGTCAAAGCGCCACCGCCACTCTGCCCCCCCGTCTTATTCCTAGAGTTCGGTGTGTTGTCTACCTTCCCCTGTGCACATTAAACAGAGTGATAAGCAGGGTCTCCAAGAGATACTAGACCCCCAATTTCACAGCAGCACTATTCCTAACAGCCAAAGGTGGGAGCCACCCAGCATCCATTGTCAATGAAGGGATATAAAAAAACGTGGTCTATCCATTCAATAGAATATTCAACCTTCAAAAGGAAGGAAATTCTGACATGCTACAACTTGGATGAACCTGGAGGACGACATGCTATTAAGCCCAGACGCAGAAACAATTCCTGTATGATTCCACTCATATAATGTCCCTAGAGCAGTTAAATCCACAGACAGGAAGAACCATGGTGCTGGGGTGGGGGATGGGACTGGGGAGCTGTTTCATGAGGACGGAGTTTCAGTTTTGCAAGATGGGAAGTTCTGGAGATGCTGGCGGTGGCATGACCATGCGAACATACTCGATGCCAGTGAGCTGTATACCTAAAAATGGTTACAGCAACAAACATTTTTTACCACAATTAAAAATGCAAATACACGCATATACGAAGCCTCAGAAATAACGCACTTATCCTCACATAAACAGGATAAAAACTGTGTACAGATGCTCTCAACTGATGATGCAGTGACGTCCTAACAAACCCACTCTAAGTCGAAAATGCGTGCGATATGCCTCACGTGCCGTACGCACATCGCAGCCTAGCCTCACAGACCGTAAACGCGTCGGAACACTCACGCGAGCCCACAGTGGGGCCACCATCTTGAGTTTCACCTCAGGAGAGACTGACTTTCTCTTTTTCTTCTCACCAGAAGCAGGAGACACAGATGGGTGTTTTGGAGACATGATGTGGAAATACGAAATACAATATTCAAAAAATGCTGGCGACACAGTACAGTGTAGGGGACTGGTGGTTCCCCCTCGTGGACACGTGGCACCACGAGAGAGTATCACATTGCACACTGCCAGCCCTGGAAAAGGTCACGATGCAAAGTACGGTTTCTAGTCAACGCTTACCGCTCCCGTACCATTGCGAAGTCAAAACACCATAAATGGAACCACCGACGTCGGGGGCCATCTGTGCAGTCTCGCAAGGATGAGCTGACACTACAGAGCTACTGTACTTTCTTGACCGACTGCCGGGTTTCCCGGGGTGCAGGATGACCTGCCCCATCAGACATTCTCGGTTCCAGTCCCCTCACGGCAAGCGCCACCGCCGCCAACACCTCGTCCGACTGTTTCCATGGGAAACATTCCTAGAAGCAGACCTGCTGGCTCAGGGGAAACGTGCGTTCCAAATGTTGATGTTGACTACGGAACTGCCCTGCAAAGAGGTCCGCCACTTTCCAGGCTCACTGGCATGTCCTCTGCACCAGCTTCCCATTCTCTTAACCCTCACCCAGAGGACTCTGGGCGAAGAAAACACATACCAGAACGACTGTCCAGCTTTATCAAATAACACACCCCGATCGCACTCAACTGTGCATTTGTCATTAGAAATGAGAAATGCATTCTAGACTGGTTTCTGACTGGTGTGGACGAGTTGCCACAGCAAAACTTTGCGTTTTCTATAAATTGGAGCGGATATTTTATCAGAGAAGTTAAACTATTAGTAGAAATATACAATGAGAAAACCCGCATTTCCTCACAACCAACAATATTGTTATAATTGATCATGATTAATAGCTGTCTCTTAAATTACCTAACACGAGGGAGGCCTTTTCATATGCATCTCACATCGTTAAGTCTCAGAACCCCCCAGCTGGGGGAGGCCTGGGACTCTACCGACTCTCTGTGACTCTCTGCGACAGCAGAGACTGAACCATGCTCGGGGACTCTAAGGCCAGTTTCCTGTGACAAGGCAAGGCCAGAGAAGGGTAAGATGGGTCCATTCATTTTATCATTTCAGAAAAGAGGTCTGTTCATTCATTTACGCAACGAATACACATTGTTCCAGGCAGAAGAGACAACGGAAAATGGCAAAATTTTCAAAGACAAAGCCATTAAAACTAAAACCCGTATCAAAAGCATGTATTTTTAAGAAATGGCTTTCAGTATTTTCCATAGCCTTATTTCCCCTCCTGAGGTCTCAATTTTATGAAGCTAAGTAGCAGGTTAATTCCATGAAGACAAAAACATGACATCTGCAAAGACACAGTTTTACTTCTCAATCTTTTAATTTTCGTGCCTAATTGCCCAGCTTGTATTTCCAGTAGAGTGCCAAATAGAAGTGATGAGCGCAAACACCCTTGTCTTGTTTCTGATGTTAAAGGGAAAGCATCTGGCCTTTAAGTATGGTGTCAGCTGTGTTTTCTGTATGTCCTTTTATACTGAGAAGTTCCATTCCATTACTAATTTGTTTAATGCCTTTATTATGAAAGAGTCTTTGGGTTTTGTCATGTTTTTTTTTTTTTTTGGCTCTCATAAGATAATCATGTGGTGGGTTTTCTTTTTGCCTTTATTAATATGATGTATTCTATGAATTGAGTATCAGATGTTGAACTAACTTTGCAGTCCTGAGATAAATCACACTTGGTTTTGGTCATGACTTTTTTAAATTGTAAATCATATTTGGCTGAATTTTAGTATTTGAGAATCCTGAGAAAAGAAAACTAAGAAAAACTAAGAGGCCACGGACTGATACCGGTCAGCGGCCCGGAGGTTGGGATCCCCTGCTTTAAGGTATTCTGAATTGTTGAAATTTGAGTAAAGGAGTCCCTTTTCAATATGCAAAAATAAAGAGATTTTTATTGTTGTTGTTTTTTTGTTTGTTCTACTTTTTTGTTTTAATAGTAATTGGTCATTGTAATTTATGACATAATTGAATGTACAACTTATTCTGAATGTTTTCCAGCATTATTTGCTCCAAATAGCAACATTAAACTTGTTTTGTTTTTGTTGTTTTTTAAAGGAAAGACAAGAAAAAAAAACGACAACAACGATCTGACCTATCGTGATTTTTTAAGTAAAGCACAAGAGTCGTTTCCCCAGGTGATGGTAAGACAAGACACAAAAGCATTCACACGACACTCATGTGACACCACCTTCAGGCAGCCCATAAACATCACTCACTGTTACCCAGCCAGGGACAGCAGTCTGCCCCTCCCTTCTCCTTCTGCGTTTGCTATAACATACACCATGATTCCTCTCTAATTATGTCTTCCATCTTGACCAACTCCCCTGCTACGTATTTCTTTGAGAAGAGTAAAGAAAAAAAAGGACTTGATTAAAAAAATGAAAGAACTAAATAAATGAACCTTCTCTTCTCCCAATTAGTGTCTGGGGGTACCTACGAATAATTCAGATGCTGTAACAGCTGTGTTTGAAAAGACTGATCTCTGAGCCACGATACTAAGGCTGGAGGCTGTGGCTGACAAAACCTATTCGGGTCTGAATCACATCTGCTGCCCCCTGGCTGTGGGTACCACTTTGTGCCCGCTAGAGAGCCCACTGGCCTTTCCCTGTGGTGCTCCATCTTTTGCACCACTGAGTCTCCCCTACTTGATGGTGCTAGCATCTTCAGTTAGCTAGGCTCAAAATCTGAATATTTTGGCCTCATTCTCACAGTATTCTCCAACTCCAATCTCTTCATATTTAATTCCTGGCTCCAGCACTTCCTAGCTGTGTAACCTTTGGCAAGTCACGTAATCACTCTGATTTTCAGTCTTATCATATGCAAACAGACGTAACGATGTGCCCACTTCACAGGTTTGCTGTGCACAGTAAACAACTGATTAGACACACTGAACATTCGCTATCACTGGGGTACTGCTCTCCTCCGACCCTGAAACACAGGGACCTGCCCAGCGCTGGGACTGCTAACGGCTGACAAAAGAGAAGTCACACAAACGGACGCAGGTTACAGCTCTAATTTCAGGGACATACTCAACTGCAAGAACCTCATGAATCAAAAGCATAAAAACTAAGACCTGTTAAAGCTTTTAGGAGAAAAATGTTATTTTCAGTCCAAGAAAAGCAAATAAAATTCTCTAATCTTATATTCTGTTTGAGGAAACATGGAAACTTTTAAATTGTTTGAGTCGATTTTCTAAGAAACTTAATTGTTAATTCCCTCACTGCATCAAAAGAAAATACAGAAAAGGAACATTTATAAGAAATGAAAGATTTTAACAGACTTGTTATACCTTATTCAATTAAGTGAAAATGGTTACGTACTCTAATTATGTAAGTAAGTTATTTACAAACTTTTGTATCTAAAGAAGAAAAAGCACCTCATTACTGAAGAATGTGTCTAAGACTAACAGTCCACAATCTCTTCGGTCTTCATCAGCGGCCACTTCATATTCTGCCTGATTGGAGAAATGACAGAAAAAAAAAGTTAATTAAGCTTCTTCACTGACTTCGTGTCTCAAAATCTGACTTAAGGAACTGACTAGATACCCTAAGAAGCAGCTCCGTTGATCAAGTGTCTGCAGCTTTTCTCTGGGAAACTAACAGCCACGAGGGGGAAAAGGCCAGTTTTTTTAAGGCAAGAGAGCAACACATTCCATAATGCTCTGCCATTAAATGTGGCCAAATAAAATGGAATCTAATGCACAGCTTGGGCTATTCTAGGCAACGGCGTTTTAGACAGACCGAGAGGTGCACGAAAACGTGAGCACAGCGCTCCCAGGAAGGCCAGGTTGGCAGAACCCCAGTAGAAGTCACTCACACACAGGTGTCAGGTGAGAGACCCTTCAGAGCGGACAATACCACACAGGCCAGAACACAGCGTCAAAAGCAGAACCTGATCAATATCTAAACATCTATGAAGAGTAAGCAAAGAAGAAACGTAAAAGGAAAATAAGAGAAAAAGAAAAACCAGAGGCTCACAAAAGCCTACGTATGAGAATTTTAAGAGGCCACTCACTAATGTCAACAGATACAGAGACTCAAGCATGAGGAGGCCTCCAGGAAGCCACTGGGTTTTGCAAGCAGGGGCCTTGAAGAGCAGTGATGCAAAAAGCCAGATGGGGCTGAGGAGAGAAGGGAGGAAACGAAGAGCAAAGGAAGCTGACCTACTGAGCACGTTAGGAACGCTCAAAGACAATCATTCTGCATCTTGCACAGGCCCGGCACAGGGCCTCGGCCAGCAGGCCGACCACCGGTCACTCAGTGTTCAAGGGCACTGTGCTCACCACACCTAGTAACCAGCAAACTGTTTACCTAAGTCCTAAGTCATCTGGATACTATACGGCACCCACTTAATGAAAGAAAACATAGTGATTCTGCTGTGTGTATTTTTTTTTTTTTTAATAAGAGCTTATTTGAGAAAAACTGACATATGCCAGGGAGCAAGATCTCAAATGCTCCCCCTGCCATGGTCTTTGGGTGTGCCACCTCAGCAGGCAACCATCTCAGGTCATTCAAACACACATCTGGCTGTTGCTGCTGTGATGGTATTTGTCCACATGATTAAAGTCTACATCAGCTGACTTTTATCCTAGATAATTTGGGTGGGCCCGATTCAATCCATCAAAAGGCCTTAAAAGTGGAACTGAGGCTTCCTCGAAGAAATTTCTGCCTAAGAACAGCAGCTTCACCCTATTTCTGGAGAGTTCCATCCTGTCCTTCCTGATGGTCTGCCCCAATAAGCATACGTCTTAACTAGCTCTTAAACCTCACGAGTTAAAGCAGGAAGTTGCAAAGTCATTCAGTAAATACAGGTGCGTCTCCAGCACCTGAGATGTAATTCTATATGTGCTACCACGTCACACGGCAGGATTTCCGGACTGAGACGGTAACTCAACAGCAGGACGACTACTTTAGCCACGTTAATGCCAAGGTCTAATTAACTTAGATCTCATCTTAGTTTTTCAATTTTCAAAAGCACAAGACTAGATGGTTCAACACTGGAATAAATCCTCACTCACCACAGCATCCAGGAATTCAATGCACCTCTTTAGATCATGTTTTGTATCACAGAACTGCCTGAAGAGAAGTCTTCCTATTGGCTGCTTGTCACAAAGACTGTTATAATCCTTTTCTGGGGAAAGAAAGGGGATAAGAAACAAATAAATACTATCGTTACAATTCAGAAAGTGCTCTTCTGAACCTTACTGTTTTCACCTGATAAAACAAAAGTCAAAAATTGTATCTGCGTATTATTTTTTAAACTAGTATTTTGTTCACCAATTTAGACTAGGTTATCATGAATACGTACAACACCTTAGTAGACCAAAAGTAGCTGCAAAGATTGATACAATCTTTCTGGAGGGTAATTTGGCAACACTGAAATTTTGAATACATATACCCTTTGAACTGGAAATCACATCTTTTAAAAAATACAATCGTGATTGCCCTGTAGAGGGGCTGCTGATCTAACTTCTTTGCTCACATCAGCCCTCACAGCGAACTCCCATTCTTCACAGCTACACAGTATCCCATTACACTGACGCATGCTTTTATCTGACTAATCCTTTCCTGAAGTTATCATCAAAAAATCTCGTCCATGTGCACAGAGAACTGTCTGGAAAAAGACTGAGAAACAGTTAACAGTGTTCATTTCTACAGCTACATACTTTATAACTCAGATTAGAACACCGATGGGGTTTATTTCCCAGGAAGAATCATGAATATACAAGGAGAATCTATTATATAATTTCTAAAAAACAAAAAGAAACTCAAGAAAGAATAACATCTAACAAATGGTGCAATGCCAGACATACCTCCAGACACAGCAGGCGCTGTTTACTCACCAATGGTCTGTCTAAGCTCGCTGCACAGGTTAACAGAAGGCAGCTTCAGCATCTCCCTCCATTTTTTACTACGACCACTTTTTTTGCCAAATCCTCCTAAATTTGGGGGGTAAAAGGCATTTTTTAAAATAGTCACAAATATCCAATTATAACAACTACTCCCACTAATGTGCTCTGTTTGAGTGCTTTGGGTACTTATGATGCGCTTATAATACAAACTTATAGTCATTTGTCTTTATCTGAAAAGCAGCTTGATGAAGTATAAAACTCTCAAGTAATACAATCACTGGCTTTGTCACTTAGAAACTATGTAACCTGTAAGTAGCTCTGCAGAGCCTAAGTTTCCAAATTTGTAAACCGGACCTAATATGACATATTACACAGGGCCGGTTATAAATATCTGTTGGACAAATATTTATCAAGCACCTACTATGCACCAAACACTTTCAAAATACAGGAAATACAATGATAAAAACAAAACAAAACGAAGTCCCTCCACTCCATTCTAGTGAGGGAGAGAGAACAAATCGGTTTAAGATAAGTGATAAGAAAAAAAAATTGCCAATCGCATAGTGATAAACAGTATGAGACAAAATCAAGCCAGCCCAAGGCGGAGGGTGCTGGTGGGGCTAAGGTGGGCTGGGAGAGGCCGCCGGGGAGGCTCAAGCTGGGCATAGATCTGGAGGGCAAAAGGGAGCCAGGCTGGGGAGAGCCGGCAGAAGAGCGCCCCCTAGCGAGATAGGCTCGGTGGAAAAGCTCTTAGCATTTTAGAAAGATCGCTTTAAAAAAGCACCTTTTAAAAATTGTTCACTCGGAGAAATTAAAACCTTTAACTTAAAGCATTCTGAGGAGCTGAAATTTGACGGCAGGACTATTGGGAAGAACAGATAAATCTGAAACAGGAAAGTCATATTTCACCGGGAAACGTCGAGCTCTGTCTTAAACACAGTGAGTCTGGAAACTGAGGGCAAGCCCCCCGGGAGATGGACAGACGGTTACGGCTGGAAGAGAAGGCTCAGTTACAGACACGGGTCTGAGGGTAAGGCTGCCTGGCGGGCGCAATCGAAGATGCGAGCTTTCCTTCCTTTTGCTCCCCCACGTGCCTTCCGCCCCCCGATATCAACCAAGATCACGAGCTCTAGATATACGTCCCACTACCCAGAAGTCCCAGAGCACCTCATGTCCATCGTTCAGATCAGACTCTTCCTCCCTGTCAAAGCCAGTCCTCTTTCCATACTACGAATCCTGCTAACACACCGCCATCTACCAGGCAAAAAAGAGGGGGAAACTGGGGCATTACCTATCCTGTCCCCTAAGGGCCTCATTCATTCATTCGGAAGGCATTTGCCGCCGGAGTCCTGTGTGCTGGGCACTGTCCAGGCACCGGGCACACTGTGGAGAGTCAAGGTGGCCAGTCCTGCCTTCAGAGATGCTCCTGCCCCCTCCCCTTCTCTTGCCTGCTCTACTAGCAGTCCTCTCTCACCTAGGGCAGTCACTCTCCTTGACCTCCCGTCTAATGGCCCTCCTACCTCCCGTCTTCCCTTCCGGACCCTCCGCCACACAGCCTCCCAGGGTCATTGTCCTAAAATACAAACACAAGCTCACTTCTCCACTGTCACAGCCTTTGAAGGTCTCCCAGAGTCCAAGGATGAAGTGAGAACAAAGTGCAGCCCTGCCTAACATCATCCCGCGGATGCACCGCTCAAGCCTCACCGTTCACTTAAAGCCCAAAAGAAGAGCAGGGCCCAGGAGCCACAAGTGCCCGGACCGTGGCTCTGCCTCATTAATCTAAGTGAATCTCTACTCAGCTCAAGCAGAACCACCTCCATGAAGCCTGCTCTGCCTTTTCTAAGGCGCTGCAGGCACTGCTCCCTCTTCATGACCTTAGCATCTTGAAAACATCTTCATTAAAGCTCGATGAGGGCAGATTCCAGGTGCACAGTCTTGTCCCTGGTGCATCTCCGGCATGCAAAGGAATGTCTGAGGGGATAAGCAAGTGGACCTCAGGTGTCCAGCGCACCACAGCAGCACGCTGGACAGAGACATTAAGGGAATGTTCGCTAGCTTTGAGTGGGCCTGAAAAAACTGGAGATGCCGGCCACAGGGCATGGGTCAGAGGCAGATGTGAAACTGTCAAGGGCTAAGAGGAGGAGGAGGAGTAAGAGCTAAGACTTACTGAGTATTTATATTTACTATGTGCCAGGCACCTTTCTAGGAGCTTCACATGTACTGACTCATTACATCATCCCCCTATGATGTAAATACTATTACTCGTCCCTTTCCTCAGAGCAGGGACCAAAGCACACAGTTAACACGTTTACTGTCACACAACTAGTGTGAGCAGCACCAAGATGCAACCTCACTTCTGCCTGACTCCAGGAACCCAGCTTACAGGTCGCCAGTTTTAAGAAGCAACGAGGTATAATCAAAGCATTTTTTTAAGTGCAGAAACATTTAAAATAAATACTTGACATAAACACACTTAGAAATTAAGGTATGCTGTGAAATGAAAATAAGTCAGATACTTTTCTAGAAGCTTCACAAGTCTACTCTTACTAAATCCGCCCATCAACCCTATGAGATATACTGTTGCTATATTCTTGTCGTAATCCTAATTTTACAGATGAGAAAACCAAGTCACAGGTATGGGAAATAATTTGCCCGAAGCATTATAGCAGGTAAACTGAAAAGCTGGGAGCTGAACCCCAGTAATCACTCTGGACAAATGCGGCCACGGGGCACTGCGGGGTTTGTACTCAGAGATATGTACACATATGTATATTTCACCTTTTCTTTGTTGAATTTAACAAAATAACAAATCACCCCTTAATCTCCAATTATATGTGAAGTGCCAATTATATGGCTAGTACTAAACAGGATAAGAAATTAAGATAAGAGCCATGTCCTGCCCGTACACAGGTTACAATTTAGCCTGATTAGCTGTGTTAAGAACCCCAAGTTGTAAATTCCCAGAGGACAGAGTATCTCCTGGCTGGAAGAAAATTACAAAGAAGAAAATGAAGGTAAATGTTGGGCCCTGAAGGGCAGAAAGAACTGTACAGAAAAAAAAGCAAGCGCCCACTGCATAGGTTGGAATTTTAAGCATACAAGAATGTGACCAAATGAACACAAAAGTGTTCATTCATACAACAAAAATGCATTAAGTAGCTCTTGAGTGTGCAATGCACAAGTTAAGTGCAATGAAGGAAACAAAAATGTTAGCTACTATACACACCTCTGGGAATCAAGAGATGTAGAAGCTACTTCTAGAAACTCCTTGAAACCAAAAGTCCTGGTGAGGAAGCCTCAGCAAGAGAGCATTAATGATAGCAGGTATATTAACTATGCTTCAGGTGCTAAGCGAACTGCTAAATAACACTATAACCTGAAGTCAGAATAGAATTACTATATATAAACCCAAAGTCTGATTAAACATATCGTGTATTCCTCCGTTTATTCTGTCAATTTTTGGAAGAGACAAAATGGAGTTAAAGTCTCCTCAGAAGTATGTGAAACAATCTAAACTTATGATTTAAAGCAACGGTCATAAATTATTTTAAAAATGCAGTACACACCAAGACGAATCCTAATTTTTTTTAAAAAAGCAGTGGTTCTTGTTTTATTAACAATGTGATTATTTCATACTTCCTTAGAGTGTGCCTGGCATACTGACACACATACTTTTTCAATGCAGCTTCATCCGCCAACATTTCTGAGACGAGTAAAGACTAACAAATCTTCAGTTTGAGACCAAAAAGAGTCTGATGTCATTTGAAATAAACCTAGAAAATGACTGGACTCACTAGTAATATTAAACCAACACTGCAATTTCCACAGTAGTGGGAGTAACTATTGTGCTACACCCACTCATTTCAAGTTAATTTTCTAATACATAAAGCAGAGAAACTACACGAAGAGTTAGCCATGAACAGACATGTGTCCAAGAAGACACTTCCTGGGAAATACTCCGGTGCCCGCATCAATAAACGCTGCTTCCTGCTTATAGCCCCCGTGTCCCATCTCTCCGTTGGAGAATCCGGCAACAGCACCCCTAAGTCCCCTAACTGGGGTGTGGGTGGAGGTGGGTGGCGCACGGCTCCTTGGAGAATCCCGTACCCTGTTTCTGGCCCTCGGCCTCCAAAGGCTGGGAAACCACTATTCTAATGTAGCTCTTGCCTCCTGGAAGGCGCTTAGCACGCAAATGGGAGGTGGGGGTAGCTAAAACAGGAAACAAACCCCAAAGATCTGAAACAGCCGAGTTCTCTCACAGAACGTTAACCACGATTCCAAGCACAAGACGAACTGATGCTTCTCCGCAGCGTCCGTGTCACCCAGAGCACCGCTCTGCCGACGCCGGCGCCCGGGACGAACCGCGCGCGAAGCGGGGGGGACTGTGCAAAAGCGCCCCTCCCGAGGCGTGGGAAACGCGCGGGCCGGCGTTCGCCCTGTTCCCGGCCCCATCGCCGGCCCCAGAAGAGCGGACGAGGCGCCCAAGCACTCGGGGGACGGCTCGGTCGCCAGCTTTCCGACGTCCTGGGAAGCAAGGGAGAGGGCAGGCGGTCGGAGACAGAGGACTCTGCTCCAGGGGTCCCCGAGCTGAGGGGCGGGCCAGCTGCCGCTCTCACGCGGACGGAAGGTGCCCAGCGCACCACAGCAGCACGCTGGACAGAGTCGCCTGGTCTGTCACCACGTCGTGCGACAACGCACTCTCCGCACCGCGGAGCGCTGCTGAAACGACACTAAAAACACTAACGGAAGGGGCCCGCCAGGCCGGTTGCAGGGGTCTCGGTCCTTGAAAGACCGCAGGCGCGCCCCGCTCCGCCGGCGCTCGCGGAGTCCCGCCTCCTC